GCGGCTAAAACGCGGGCAGAGGGTCTATTTTGTATTGAGGAGAGCTTTCCAGCCGGCCCCGCGTTTAGAGATCTGCCGTGCGTCGACGACCCGGCAGAGGGCCAAGAGGGAACGGACGACGGCTCTGTAGTAGGAGAGAGGCATCTCGTATGGGCGATTGACATTCTTGCGGGGAGAGGGAGGAGGGATTCCTTTCGGAAGGGGACAGCCAGGCATAGACGACCATCTACACTGTAGAACGATCCCCCGCTCTACCTGGAAATGGATTCTCAAGTATGGAATAATTGTAGTAGGCGAATACGAGATGATTTCCAGTCTATTCTCTGGACTGTCTTGCAGTTTATGCGTGCGCTTCGGAGGCTTCGTTCCGGTCGGGTACGCTAAGCTCAATGGACATGGACACGCTCAGATCGCGGTCTTGAGGTCCGAGAGTCAGCTCGACCTTCCTCAGGGTACTATTCTTTGAAAACGCGTTTCCATTTCGACTAGGAGGACCGCAGCTAGCTTGCCAGGGTTGTGTCCCATTTTTCACTCGAATGTACGACGTGAGTTACGCTATCCTGCCTCTCAACGAGCCAGACGCTGCACGCTCGCACATATATGCGAACGACAGTTCAGGCTCCCAAGCTCCTCTCCCCGCATGAGACTGCCTCGCAGGACGTGCTGTGACCCGGGGATATTCTTTTTCAAAGAAATTCGGATGGTTGTGGCGAATGTTCTAGGGAATCTGCAAGTGAGAAGACACTTCCTGGTGGGTGGCAAGCCAAGAACAGGTACAGCAAGCCATGCCGTGTTCCTACCAAGGGGCCAAAGCTAGACCAGATACTCAGCGAGCTATGCGCATTGACGTTTTATACGACAGAGGAAATCACAGGACCCGTACAAGAGTCTGGAACCGAACTTGGATTGAGAACCTGGCCCGGTAGATGATCTGGCACTGCTGCATGTCTGTTAAGGCAATGGTCATCTCAAGGTCGATGCTATCAGCAAGATGCTCAGGGCTCATTCAGCAAAGCACTGTGGGCATTTCCATCTTCTCGTTGGCTTGGTCTGTCGCTGACCAAAACCGCTGGCCGCCAGCGGTTCACAGATCAAAAACCGTTAGCGCCTAAGACAGGAGATACCTCATAGTTCGCTTCCGTGCGCTTTGGCTGGTAGTTGAAAGGGATGGTCAAGGTGATATGCGAGCGAAGCAGAGGAAGGAACTTCCCGGCCAGGCCGCAAGATGAAGGGAAAGGGGTTATAGTTCCGAGTGGAGTAGACGTTGGGAATCAACTGGCTCGGCACCTAAGACCTTTATTGTTGTCTTCGCGCTGGGCTTCAAAGGACTTGCCTCTCCGAGCTCTAGAATTCGCTGGCGAGGTAGTTTACGACCTTTAGAAGTTCACGTCTCTTGACAGACCGATTTATGCATCATCTCTTGCGAAGTACAAAATGGGGTACAGACGCTATTGTGGAAGTGTGCCTGACGCGGAGGAGTGAAGAATACCTTCCAAATCTTAGAAAGCCCTGTCGTTTCTATTGACGCCAGAGTCCCTTCATGGCGGATTCCTGTGGGGTCCATTGGCGATATATCTTATTCACATAGGTAGCAAGACAAAACCAGAAAACGATGATATAGAACTACTTCGTACTTCACATGAGTCCTTCGGACTGCACCCCAAACCGCACAATCTCAAGGCGTATCCTTTCTTCGGCCATGGGATCATTCCCATTGGTACTGCTCCTTTTGGCCCCTTGATATAACGAGCGAGACGATTCCGAAGTGGGTCGTTGTCATATCCGAATGGGAACACTTCGTCTTCTTGGGCGAGTTTAAAGCTGCTGGCTCTGCCACAGAAAACTTCAAGTATCATAAATTAATGCTAGGAAGCTGGCCAGGACCAGCGGTCTAATCATACTAGCAGCTTCTGGCTTCTGGCCACTGGGTATTTTGCCGAGTCCTTCTCTTCCTGAAGAAAACTCTTTCAGAGAAAGGCCATTTTTTTGAAAGAGGACCTGAGATACAAATGCGAAGTACTGGTGGCATTCTACTTCGTGGGGTCTGACTGTCTAACTCAATGTTGGTAGTCCCGAATTCTTGTGGAGCTGAACCATCAACTCTCGTTGCGAAGTGGCGGTTTTTTCTGTAATCGATGCATACCGGACCGAGGGATGAGGGAGAGCGCCAGTTGCCCAAGGGACCATACTTCGTACATGGCGATCTCAGTGATTCCGTTGTGATTCCGCTTTTAGTTTTATAGGGCTGATCGTGATCGTGAACGCCGGGTATCGTATCACATCTCGCAAGGTATAAAGGAACGAGGAATATGACATTTGACGGTGGCTGAGGGATCGGTCAGATTCGGTACGGGCTCACCCGAGTATTATTGATTGATTCGGATCCCCATTGAGTCCTCGGATCCATTTATGAAGCCCTGAAAGATGGGCCAAGTTGTTCCAAGGTTGACAATGGGATTTACACTCTTAATTGGACAGGTCTGAGAATGGGTCTGGTCTCCACTCCGTCGAAGCGGTCGACCCGCCAATGCCGTGCCCAGAGGTCCGTGTCCATCCGTTCGCGAGGCTCGCTGCCCTAGATGTCTTCGCGAATATCTTCCCCAGCCTGTTTAGGCGGGTGTGAAGTGTCTAGGTAGCATTGAGAGTGATGCGCATGACGAGCCAATGCGATCCGAGGATCATTACAGTCTGAGCAGTAATACGAAGTATACTCTGGAAGTTATCTTCAGCTCGCTGATGCGGCTTATGAGCAGCCCTTGGTAGTCTTGGGGCTTGGTGGAGATCAGTTGGCCAAGCCCTACCACTGCATGTATCCTTCGTCCAAGTCCACTCCATGAACCATGGCTCACTGGCAGACCAGGGTCAGGCCGATGATCCCAGTACCGTGTGATACACTCATGCAAGGGAGAAGTCAAAGGGACCAAGACCGTTTCGAATCTAATAAAATTGATGGACTGAAGTGTACGGAATATTTTGCTAGGAAGCGAAGTGGTCTGTACTTCGTAGTTTCGCATCGCAGACACTAGGTCATATATTCAACACTCGAATCCGTCGTGTTGAACTGAACTGACAATCGTACAAGTTACTTCCCGAGTGAACCGACTGGTGGTGGATGGACGTTCCGTTGCGGGTAATGCCAGACCTGTCAAACCAGCAGAATCTGATACCGCCCGCAAGATGCAGCGTGCGACTCATGCAAGAGTGGCTGACGTCTCCCCCGCCTTCTGCTTTGACCACCAAGTACCACGTTTCTTCCATCCTCAGACGAAGTTGGGAACTGACATCTTCGGGCGCACCTTTACAGCATTACCTTCGAAAGCACAGACTCAATGTATTGTACTTCGAAAACGGTCCTGCAAGTTGTTGATATTCAACCGTCGTTCCCGACAAGCTCGTCCGTGTGTCAGGCCGCCTGCCAAGCTCCATCAATTCTTCCTTCCGACCACCGAAGGTCCTCAAAGCAGGCTTCGGATGCTTAACCGAATGGATAAAGAGATAATTGGATATTGCCGACATCTCCCGCTGTTTGATCTCGCTTGCTTGCCAGGATAACTCAAAATCGAAACAGTGAATTTACTCCACTGAGACCGCAGGACGTGTGGCACTAACGCAGCGTGTGTCCGTCTTCGTCTACTGTAGCACTCGCCTGCTCGGGCTGGCTGTACCTGGGTTAAGGTCCACGCGATCATGTACGCATACGAAATGCAAAGTACTTGTACACAGAACCACGCCGGCATCGGGATAGTTACCAAACTCATCGTGGTGGTATTAGTGAGGTAGGAAGGGCTCGTTCCATCCATCAAATGTTGGGGCAGCCAAGAGGCGGGAGAGCGCCTAACAGTTCATTGCACCGGTATAGAGACTTATCCAGGAACCTGTCTTGGCTCGGTGCCACACACGTCTTTCCTGCACCTGCCAGTACCGGTACATCGAATTGGGGAGCCCGAACGCACGGCCCTGCTTTTATTGACACTATTGACGGGCCTGTTCACAATGAAATCCACCATTCCGGAATCCTTCCTCTTTCCATCGGAGTCTTTCTGGTCGAGGACCCGTGCTCTCTTCCTCTGACATCGTCCTTCAGAGGACGAAAGGCGTCAACCGATACTATTGCTGCATTTGCTTTAGCGATATGCCTGTACCGGTTTGTAACGAAGTCATGCTGGCCAATTGCCCTTCAAAGTCGGATGTTGATTGGATGGGTGGATGTGGATCGATCGACCAAGATGGCGCTGGAAGATCACCAAGGAAATCTATTGATTTTTCAAAAAGCACGGCACTTCAAGTACCTCGTGTACTTCCAACCGAGCGCCACACACTTCCATCCTGCAAAGTACGCAGCTAGCCACGCGATCAGTACTTCGCAGAACTAGGTCGTCTAAGTTATTGAAATGAAAGACACCTTTTGCTATCTCTTCCCATGCCGTGTCTCCCCTCTCTCCCCCTCCTCTACGAGGAACGATGCACAATGCATTGCTGGCGCCATTAGCAAAAAGAAGGAGGGCGGAGTCTTCAATGATTCATGCTTCCCTGGTCGCACGGCGATTTCGGTTTCCCGTGCGAGAAGTAAATTGAACAATATCAAGCCCGGCTTATGGGCACAGACATTTCTACTCTGGATTCCCTTCCGGGGCCTTGTCCTGGTTTCCCAACTTTTCCTCGAGTTGGGTAACGACCCACGGTTTCTCGCCTGGATGCAAGAAAGTCTGGGTCCCTACGAGTTGTGGTTCCCGTTCACGAACGCTCAGACGCAAGTCTCAAATCTTCGAAAAGGAGGGGAGACTCTGCTTGCGCATCGATAGCACGCGGTTCTGGATTCCGATACTTATATGGTGCCTCTTGTCGCCTCGCTCGTTTTCTTTTGACCGGACCAGCTTTCCTGGATGTGATACCGGACAGCAGGTCTCTTGACGGCTTCGGTTTCACTTACGAAGTAGCTTCTTCTTGTGTCGATTACACTTCGAAATTGACGTTCGGCGAAGGACATACCAATAATAGCCATGGGTCAGACCGATCAACAGCGCCAGGATGGCTTGGTCATCACGACCGCCGTCTTCACATCAATTGCATGTAAGCACACAGCGCATCCATCCAATTGCTTTCGCTCGGCTTCTTCCGTCTTCTTGCTGCCGGCGACCCGGATACTAGAGCAATGCTTCGCGGCAGCTGCTCATTGCTAATAAGATTGATATTGACAATGCGATTGCTTCATAGTCGTTGTCGTCGTCCTTCGGTCAATAACTCGTTTCATTCTCATCCGCAAGGGTGGCTGGGATGACTCTCTCATGGTTGTCGCCATGGTTCGTTTCTTGCCCTCCTTGTTATATTCAACGCACAATGGCATCTTTAATGGCATCTTTTGTGGCAGCGCATACTAACCAGCGGCGGCGGCGATAGATTCTGAGCATTGGCTACTTTTTGGAGATTCTCATCGGCAAGGCCAACCACATCGGACACGCGATGTCGACGCTCTCCACCGACAATATGCTTAACCTGATCAAGGTTACGCTAGGCATTCAGCTTACCTACTACGCCGCCGTCAGCTCTATCAAGGTTTCCATTCTGTGCATGTATCTGAGATTCTGTAAGTCGGATTTGGTCATGCCCATTGAGCATTCATTCCCTTACCTGTGCCCTACCACAAGGCGCTTGTTAGCTAACACGTGGTGACCCATAGTGGCTTCGAACAAGTCTCGACTCCTCGCATACGGCACTATCATCTTCCACGTTTGCTTCTTCATCATTTGTGTCACCGTCACTGCTTCGCAGTGCCGACCAATTAGCAAGATGTGGGATTTGACAGGCATGCAACCCGGAAAATGCATTGATACCACCGCCTTCTTCTACTGTAGGTTTTTAAGCGCCTTTTATAGGACCTGTGTTTTCGCTGTGGAGCAGGAGTAAGAACCATGGGATTTGCTAATCCTTGTTGCAATAGTCACCTCGGGCTTCAACATCATCACGGATATCTGGATTATTGCCCTTCCCATCAAAGCCCTGATCAAGATCAACAGGCCCCGCCGAGAAAAGATCGCGCTCATCTTCATCTTCGGCGTCGGTACCTTCGCAACCATCACGTCCATCATTCGCCTCCACACCATTTACACGTACACCCTCGCCAAAGACCCCTTCCAGCAGAGTATTCTGGTGAACCTCTGGTCTGTTATCGAGGTCAACACGGCAATTATCTGCGGGTCGGCGCCGGCGCTTAAGCCGCTGTTCACGCCCAAGGCCCTGAAGGCCGCGAGGCAAGGTTCAAGCAATGGTGGAAGTCACCAGTACGTGGCGCGATCGGGGTACATCAGGAGCAAGAAGTCCGTCGACCAGACCTGGACCGAGACGTCCGTCAATCTCGGCCCCGTCCCTTATAGTAGCACCGAGATTACGGCGGGAGGACACCGCGGCAGGGAGAAAGACAAGGAGACGGACAGTACTGTCGACATCCTCCCTGCGTAAAGGCCTTTTCTTCCTCTCTTTCTACGCGGTATTGAATTGAGTTTCAGGGGCGCATATGATGGGATTGGTTAAAAAAGGGTTGACGGGTTGAACATTGTTTTCCGTTTTCTTGTGTTTGGGAAAATGCATGGGTTTGGGAGCGGAGGGTACTTGCGATGGTGTACACTATACTACGTAAGATAGTTGACGGTTATACTCTTTCTGAGATGAGATACCATCATGTACTAAAAAAGAAACATGGCTTGTCTGGTGCGCCAGTGCTCATTCATTGATATCGCTGCGGTGAATTTAATGGTCTTGAAAACCTAGCGAAGCAGGTAACAATGAAAAAGAAAACCAATCAGAATTTCTTTTCTGTTGCTCCGATGAATAATGTTACCGTTACGATGGGATCCCGGGACCGTCTCCGTCGCAATTAGGGTGTAATCTTGACTTACACCCACATCTTCGGGGCTGAAAGTTAGAGTGCCAAAGTTCAAGATGGACCGACAGATGCCCGACTGCCCTGGGATGAAGTCACGAACTATAAGATTACACCACGAAACATTACACAACAATCTGGGGTCAGAGGTGGGGTTACAGTTACTCCAGGTCGGGCCATTCGTGGTTCCTGTGATGCTCCGGCTTGCTGGGGGAACCCTGCCAGTGAGCGGGAGGGAAATTGGGGGGATGCGAGCGACGATGGATCCATCCCGTGACCGAACATCTGATGTAAGGAACGATAGAGAAACGGGGCGTTCCGAAGACGCCCGCAGCGTCTACAAGAAGCCGAGGTGCGGAGAAGGGACATTGAAAGACTCCGTCATCATGATCGTGATATCATCAAATGACGTATCTGTGGATCATTCCAGACACGATTGGTTCTTACGACAACGGCGCCAAATTAGGAAAACACACCTAAGTTTGACTCAGTGTCCAAACTATGCACTAAACTCTAACCCACAAAGCGAAAATAAGGAAAAAAAAATTGGTGTGAAGCCCCCCGGGAGCACACCAACGGATCTAATCACACAAGCGTCTCTCCCCCTTCACTATTACGCCTAGCCACAGACGCCAAAGTCGTCACGATCAACCGCGCAATCTGAACAAAATCTTCCCCGAACTGCAACTTCCTCCTCCACCTCTCCGGCACGGCCTGTAAACCCTCCCTCGCGCCGACGAGACCGCCGGCGATGGCGGCGTTGGTATCCGTGTCCTTGCCGATCCTGACGACGTCGATGATGATGTCTTCGAGGGATCTCTCGTCTAGGAGGGCCGCCACGGCGATGGTGAGTGATTCGAGCACGTAGCCCTGGCCTTTCCCAGCCAGTTCCCTAGGACCCCTCTCGGCCATTTGCGCGATCGAGAGCCGGCGCCCCAACTCGATGGCGTCGGCTACGCTGTAGGGCGACTTTGTGTCGTCGAGCCTGCGCGCCACCTGTAGACCGGCGTCGACAGCCTCGTCGGGGGACTTACCGTCGACGAGAGCCTTGACCATGATATTGTAAGCGGCGCAGCTAACAGTGCACCGAATGTCATCGTGCGTAACGGCCGAAATGGCCATCGAGTCGCGAATAAGCTTCGCCTCGTCCGACTCGAACAGTCCCGTAGGTATACACCTCATCAACGACCCGTTCCCAGCCTGTCCGGGCCCCGCTCCGCACCCCTTAGGATTCCACCCGGATTCCTGGAAATTCTGCAGTCCCGTCAACGTAGCCCCGCCCACGTCGTGGGGACTCGTGCCGGGCCTCCTCTCGGGCCAATTATTCCCCAGCAGCCAATCAACCATGTACCCACCGGCCACTTTCGCCATGTCCGGGTCCTCGCCGCCGGCGGAGCGGATGCGCGCCAGGTCGAGGTAGGCGAGGAGCACGGCGCGCGTGAGGTCCGTGTCGTCGGTGGCGTGGCCCGGCGGGAAGCCGAAGGGACCGCCGCCGACGATGTCCCGGAGGCCGAGGGGGTATTTAGCCTTGAGGGTGTCGTGGGACATGAATTCGCAGGTGGCTCCGAGAGAGTCGCCGGCGTGGACGCCCAGCAGGGCGCCTTGCATGCGGTCTAGCGGGGTGGGTGGTAGGTCGAGGTCTGTTACCGCCGATGAGGGCGTTGTGGATGCTGATGTTCCTGACATCGTGGTGAAGAGAAAAAAAAAAAAGGAAAGATGTAAATCTGATTTGGTGCTTTGATCTTGTTTTTCGGTAATTATTTTCAAATTCTATTTGTTTATTGTCAATTGCAGGAAGAAGAGGAGATCGTCCTAGGTTTAAGCTTGGAGTGACACGAGGGTCTGAATATATCTTTCGCTGATCTACACGTCAGTTCATGCAAGGTTCAGCCCCAGGCAGCAGTAACGGAATCAATTGATTGATCCATACACAGGTTTTTTGATTCTAAGCTACGCAGCACTTCTCCCCATCCGACATTTCCAGCTGGGGAAAGAAAACCCGAAAGAGGTGACGTGATGCAGCTCATGATTCTGGGGGCAAACATGAGGGGAAGAGAACCATCGAAACGTACACGCGACCGAAGTCAAAGTCACCCCAATCGGGGCTCGAGAACCAGATCTGGAGACACGGGGACATGGGGCATGGGGGGGAGCGCATGCAGGCTTGCATCAGTGATGGAGAATGGGCAGACCCCGAGACCCCGAGGTTGATTAATTATCAATGATCAATGATCCCATCATCATCATCGTCATGCTGCTCTGGAAGCTACCAAAGCTGCCAAGCTCCCCCGAAGCTCCTCCAGAAGCGGGAAAGTTTAAAACGTAAAAGAAACACTAACGACTCTGATAGCGGATCGAAGTCTAATTTACAGCCCTGATTTGATTCGTCTTCCAAGTTGCAGTTTAGTCTCTACCACCTTCCTCCACCATCCCCGCTCTCAACCTAACCCAACCCAGGCCGGAAAAACAGGAGAAAAGAAAAAGGAACAGATTGCGCCTCCACTTCCCAGCTTTGAGTCTGCTTTTCCGAGATTTGATGAAACTACCATAGAAAAAGAGGAAGGAAAAGGAAGGGGAAATGGCTCAAATGAGAACGGCGAAAGCCAACGCAAGGACGCCGACCGCCAAAGACGGTGCATAACGACCAGAAGCAGCCGCCGTTACAACCCCAGGGGGCCCGGCTGCACCAGCGGCAGCAGGCTGGGCCATAGCGGGGGCTGCGGCCACGAGACCGGGCACGTCGGCGACCGCATCAAATGTCGCCCCGATATCGCCCCACCTGACGTTGGAGAAGGTGACGGAAACATCCGGCCTCTCCATGAGAATCTTCTTGGGATCGCCCTCGCCCTCGGCACAGGGGCCCGCCTCACCACTGTCAAGCCAGTCCATGAAGTCCCCGTCAGAGTTCCAAATGCTGAAGATGAGCACCATGCCGCGCTGCAGCGACTCGCCCATGGTCTTCATGCCCCCAAGCCTAAGGAAACCCTCGGCATTGTTATCCGTACAGAACTCCTCCGTCAGGAAACCAGGGGTGTCTTCGTCGGACGAGACGGGGTGATTCTCGATGACTTTCCCGTCCTGGACGTACAGCCGGCGGATCTCGCTGAGGGTGCCCGTCGCGGTGCCGTCATCGCTGATGAATTGCGTGACGACGGTGAAGGCGCGGGACGTGTCGACTTGGTCGCTGCCGGGCGCGTAGTAGTTTTGGAATCCGCTGCGGTAAGGGTTGATGCCGCAGCCGTTCTTGTCGCAGACGCCTTCGAACTCGCATTCATCGCCGGAGCAGAGGAAGGAGCCGACGCCGCTGCATGTGTGGGGGGTGTAGACCGTGGCGCGGGAGTTGGCTTCCCAGATGTCCATTTCGTTGCAGCATGCGCCCGAGTTGTTCATGTTGGGCTGCAAAGAAAAGAGGAAAAGTTAGCATCTTTGGATCTTGCTAATATTTGCGACTGTCGGGGAAGTGATGTCATACCAAGCCGTTGATCCACGGAACGTCAAAGCACTGCGCATCGCAGTAGCCAGTGCCATACGCAGCCCCAGCAACATTCGTCGCGCTCTTGGAACCTGTAGCATCCATCTCCGAAAGATACAGAGCCCCATTCATCCCGCACGCCAGCTGCGACACATCAACATCGTAGCTAATCTCCTGATTCAGCAACTTCATCATCTCATACGTCTCCTCGTCCTCGGCGAGCAAGTACACGCGCGGGCTAACCCTATTATACTCCGTTCCGTTAAACAGGTACTGACGCATGGTCAACGAGGTCCCCCTTGTCAGGACACCGATGCTAGCGTAGTCGATGCCCTCGAGGGCGCAGTTCTGCGCGCAGGTGGCCTCGTCGGGGCAGATGGTGGCGTCGAAGGGCTTCGAGCCGCACGAGATGTCCATGTTGTCGACGGCGTGGAAGGATCGCGCCAGGGCGTCCGTGACGAGTGACGTCTGTTTCTCAACGCAGCCGCCGTCCGTGGTGCAGTGGAAGGTTGGGAAGCGAGGGTGCACCTCGGGGATGGCGGTGCCGATCTGCTGGGCCGAGGCCACGGCGCAGAGGTAGGTGATGTAGGGCAGCGCAGCTGCTATCTTGGACGACATTTTGCAAGTTGTATTGTGAATTAAAATAAAAATATTTATGAAATATAAAAGGAAACACTGAATCCCTAAGAGAAGCGAACTGGTCGTCCAAAAAGAGTGTAAGTCGGCAGGCAGTCACAGACCAAAGCTATGTTCTCCTTGGATCTTCGGATGGTGGATTTGCCTTTATTATACCTTCCCAGAAATGGTGGGCAAATTTCAATCTCGTTTTGTTTCTTCCCCTCCTCTATTCCTCTTGTCATCCGACCGGATCGTTCGTTCCATCTAGATGTCGCTTTCATCCCATTGAATCGCATATAAGCCGGATGCGTTTCGATGTAAGATCGTCGTGAAGGTGTCGCGGAGGTGCAAGATTGTGGGGGGTCATGCCAGGCTCATCCGTCGCATCCCCAAAGAGCCAATCTCTTTTTTCTCAGGGTTTTGGAGGCCGTCCCCATGAAATACCAATACTAGTTTTGTAATCTGATCTTCGTGGATGATTCCCTGGAAATCTGGGTTCCCCATGGTTGTTCCTCACCCTGCGTTCATTTGAGATGAGACCCCTTGGTTTCTCCCTCCAGGTTGAGTTAACCTTTTACATCTCTCGTGACCTTTTTCTTCTTCTCGGCACTGAATGCAAGTCGGAGATCCTACCGTTACAGGTATCCCAGAGGCAGGGAGGAGGAAACGGATTATTATTATTTTTCTTTCCTTTTCTTTTTTACCCCATCGTCGTCTAGAGGCAGCGAGCAACTCATGAATTGGGAGGGCCAACAAGACGAGGATGTCGGAGGCTTCCCAGGCCGGTCGATCAGCGCGGCACAAGAACCTGAGACTAGAAATTCCCTCGAGACGGCAGATTTTTCTATTGACCCTTCGATTTTTTTGCTTCCTATTCCTTTTTCTTACCCTACGATCCTATCGTAATTGAAAAATGTGAGTTGTATGTCGTGAGTCGGAAGGTATGAGCCGATATCCGGGCTTGAGGCTTGGCCTTCTTTCGCAGCATCATCGGATGCTCACGTTTGTTCAACTGGCCTGACTTGAAGTTGCAGTCAATTAGTCCTTGTGAGTGCTGTATGAATAGTATTTGAATTGATATCAGTGCTTGTTATTCTTGAAGAAAGAAATGAAAACTGGGTTATCTTAAGCCGCAGGGATGGCTTATTCTGCTGTAAACCAGGCATTGCTCCCATTCTTGGCAGGATGAAGAAGAGGCCCAACGCTTTGTTTCCAACTCCGAATATCCAGGTTCGTCGAGGAAGAGAAGGAACATGGGCGATTAGATTTCCTTACACCAGACACGGGATCCTGAAAGGGGCATAACGAGATAAGTTTACAGTCTCCGTTTCTCCTACTTCTTTAGCAGCGAGACAATCTTGACTTGTCGACGGCAACCCCGATTCTATCAGCTGGCGATGTAAGAAGAGCGGCTCCATTTCGTTGCATTTCGCTTCAGAAAGCCTCGCCTCGTTAAGAGAGAAGCTCTCCTTCTTAACGCTTTAGACTAAATTTAAACATCTCCATGGCTGGTCACTTGAAGCACCTACCCGATACCAATCGATCCGTTCATAACACTTGCCATGGCAGAGGCACAGGTCTAGAACTTGCCGTCCCCGGCGTGTCGGACCGACTCCAGTTACAGACGAGTCGCCCTGGACACCGCACCCGTTTCAGCCTCGTGGTGTGAGAAGGCGGCCTAGATCACTGCATCTCCCTCGTCACAGCCTCACATGCTCTTGACATAGATGTGTAGAGCTCAGTGTCAGGTACCTTGTTCCTTGTTTTGCTCGTTAGTGGCTTCGCCGATTTGGAAAAGAGGCAAGTAGGTGTCATTTCATTTCCAAGCTACATCGTTAAACGAGATATATACGAGTCATTCACAGATATGAAAGCACTTCGCGGAGACATTCCGAGAAAGAGGACGGCCTTGACTGAGGAGCGCGATACTGGAGGGAAGTGGGCTCAAGGCAGACATATCGCACCCAGCACCCAGCACCCACAGCTAAAGAATAGAAGACGGGGAAGTTGAGAATGAACGCCATGAAACTCGTCACATTTAGCTTGGGCGATATTATCGATGCAATGAGCAATTCGTAGCTCTGAGATCTTTCCCAAGACCCAAATATCCTGGAGAACAGATCAATGATGTGGCGTTTGTGGCGTTTGGGATGGGGAAGGAAGTTGCGGAGAAGTTGCCGTACTTCGTAGATGAATGAAAGAGACCAAATCCCCCATTTCCCATTCCCATTCCCGGTCACATTCCATTTCTACTGCCAAGGAAGCCGGCTCACCAAGTCGGCACAACTCCCATCCGCACTCTAATTACTCTTCCCCAGACCCGTCGCGTCGCACAAACGAACTGCCCACCCACCAGCCAATGCGACACCAGAAATCAAAGTAAACAACAATCTCTCCTCTTCTTCTCACCTCACCACCCTCTCTCCACTCCAACAAACGCAATCCTCACCGCGTCACAAACCCACCCACGAAAAACCAACCTCTGCGACAAGCACCGAGAAACCCAAAAGAGTCGCAGTCCTCAATCGCATCCCGCCCAAAATGGTCTCCACGCGCTCCTCCTCCGTCGCCCTCAACACCCCCGACCTCCCCACCCCCGCCAAAACACCACGCTCCCGCAAATCCGCGACCCCTCGCGCGCCAACAACAACAACGACGACCACCAAGACCTCCGCCGCAACCTGGTCCCACACGCCCACGCCCCTCACCCTCCTCTGGCTCGCCGTATCCGTCCCCCTCGTCGCCTGGGACACGGGCTACGTTCTCCTGCGACCGCATACCATGGAAGGCGGCGCGCTCCACTGGCCGCTCTACGTGCCCTATAAACTCTACGGCGAGATCGACCATATCTACGGCTGGAAGGCTTTCAATGCCGGGAACGGCTTCACGAGCGCCCAGGGTACTCTGAACGTAGTGGAGTCTTTGCTCTATCTTGCTTATTTGTATCTTTGGAGCAAGGGGAGGGCTAGCGATGGGAGTGTTGGGGGGAGGGTAGGTGGTTTGGGCTTGCTTTTGGGGTGGGCGGCTGCTGTTATGACATTGAGCAAGACGGTTTTGTATTGTATGTTTTTGTTTGTTCCTTCTTTTTCTCTCTTTTGCGCGTGGTCTTTTGCGACCGTGCGATCGAGCGGGATACACTTGCTTACTGACTTGGGGGAAATATAGGGCTCAACGAGTACTATTCAGGCTTTGACAACATTGGCCACAACACGCCTTTCAACTTGTTCTTCCTCTGGATCATCCCCAAGTAAGTCAACATCCCTCCTCCCCTCTCCGGCGGTAGAGCTATTTGCGCCTGGACAGATTTCTAACTCGACTTCTCAGCGGTGCCTGGATTGTTCTCCCTACATACATGATCTACGTCATGGGCGCCGACATCCTCAACGCCTTCGCCGTCGCCAGCGGCGACAAGTCCGAATAAAGGCGGGTTGTCAAATGTTTGAGAATGCGACGGGACGAAGGACGCCGCACGATGATTTCGCTGGACGAAGACCGGGCGCGAACGAGGAAAAACGCGCAAATGATTCGATGAAAAGGAGAGAGAGAGAGAGACAAGGGGCGGGTTATATACATTCACCGCAAATGCGTCAATGGGAAGCCAGGGGTGTTGGGACAGCATGGATATCTTTCGATGGTAGTGTCCCCAATCTGAAATCGGTAGGGAACTACTGACATACATATTTTAATGAGTTATTTGAATTGAGTCCAGGGACAACGCCCACGCGATATGACCATCGAAGCTGTGAATCTTTCATTTTTTTTTTGAATCAATATCTTGTCCATCTAATACCATCAATAGCCGAACCTTTTGAGGCTGCCGTAAATAAGCCTAACCGAAGCCAATGAAAAAAATGAGTATTATACAAACATGGTTAAAAAAAATGGTATAGTAGCTGTGGTCAGAATCATGTGGCCAGTCCAGATCCCAGTTCCGAAAACACCACGGTGGTAGCCCACCCCGAAGACATCCTACCCGAAATCGCCGACTCTAAACAGGTCTATACAAAGGAAATTCATGATAGAAAATGAGGGAAGGGGACAGGAAGCCCCGAGAATATTGGGAACAACCTGGGAATGCCGTCTAGAGGCAAGCCGGCGATGCGCTCAAAACTTCGTCCAACCCTCCAAACTCTCTCCTCACACCACTCAAACACTTATCATCTCCGGGAGTGAAGGACGCTAAGCTCTCTACACTCTTCTTAATCCTCAACGGCGAGGGTACCAGCTTGTCATCCGAAACCTCCTCGTGGTTGTAAATCTCTTCCCTCTGCTCCTCCACGAGCTGCGCGTAGCCCATTGCGTAGTCTGGCATGACTACCGGCCGAGGAGGATGCGCGAATGATGACTGTGAGACGAAGATGGCGCTCTGGGGCCTGGGGCGCATGTGCGACCGAACCGGCGTCTCGGGTGACGGCAACATAGATAGGACCTCACGCTTGTGTCGTAATGGGATCAACGGCGGCTCCGACCAGGGCGCGTTGATGCGCTCCTGCTTAGGACTAGCTTCGGGCGAGGTCGCAATAGAACTTGCCGGATTCTCCGCCCCACTAGAGCTAGCAACGGACTCCTGCACGGAAGAGGAGGACGTCGCTGTCATGGGAGCATCTTCGATCGGGCGCTGGTCCTGGTTCTGGTGATTGCTATTATGGATGTCCAGTTGAAGATTAGCTCTGTTACCGGCAAGAGGGAAGCTGCGAACCGCGACACTAGCCGATGTTGTTGGCCGAGGCAGTTCGGTGGGCTCTGTTGCTAGTCGGGGCGGGCGGGCTGAACGGGTCGGAGTTTGAGATGTGGAATCGAGAGTCGCCGTACGTGGAGAGTTCTGCGGTGGCGGAGGACTTCTAAATACGCTAAGTGGTCTGCAAACGAAATTATTGGGAGAGACTTGAATGCTTTGGGATAAAGTTTTTGCGCGGTATGAAATGGATCGGCCGAGCTTAGTCGGTGAGAGGAGCTGCTCCGATAGATGACCATGGCGCCTTGGTGTTGTTGGGGATTTCATAGGGGACGGAGCGCCAGCGCCTTCGGGTGAGAAATTCTCCACAAACATGCTTCGGCGGCGTGGTGTCTCCGGTCGGGCACTTAAGTCCATCTTCCAGGGCGGTAGACCTTCGGTCGAGATGGCAATATTGTAATCAATCCCGTCTGTGTCAAAAACCTCCCTTGGTGGCTCAGTGACGTTTCGGAGCACCTGGCAGATGGCGTAGATAATAGCCCACCTCAACTTCCGGCCATCTGGCAAGGTGAGCCTTTCCTTCTTATCAAATCTGCTCGGCGACATAACAAGGTCCTCTTCGAATCTTCGGTACGCCTGAACGAGGTCGTTGTGGATGATGCGAGGGTTGGTCGTGTTGTAAGCTTTTACGAGGGATGCATGCGCGAGCAACCGCTCATCAGGCTTGAGCTTGTCACCCCTGAGGCGCGTCATTCTCCTCCAAGTCGAGGTCGTCCCGGATATATCGGGGAGTAGCGGGAGAGGGTGCTTTTGGGTCTTGTAATGCCACTGCATATCGTATGAAAGGATCATCTGTAAGATATCAATGCCGCTCTTATCTGCGGTGGCGTGCTTCCCGGTAGCAGTACCGCTATCACTTTCGTCGACAAGGAGGTCTCGGAGACATTCAAAATCGAATCTCATCGTGTGATACGCCTCCTTGCGGAAAACTCCGGACGACTTCGGAGGTGGCAGCGGCGGATATCGGCCAAGCTTGGCAGAGTAGAAAGCGTGGAGGAACCCCCTAAATCGTTCCATGTGGGCGAGAGCACCAACCTTGAGGCACGAGTCGGTTGCGCTGAAGGCGTCCTTGCAAAAAGTGCGCAGTTGAAACGTGGCGCGGGCGAGCCGAAAATCTAGTTCGGCTCGAGCGCGCGATAATAGATCCTTGGATGCTTGTGACGTGAACTTTGATGATCCTCGTGTTAGTCCAACGGTTTGACTGCGACAAGCGGAGACAATGGTAATAACACCCTACCTGATATTCAGCACTCGACTCCAGTTCCCAAAACATGCCAGTGCAGTGAGCAAAAGCATCGATATACATCCCTCTAAGTCTACAATTCTCCGCAAGATAAAGGATGGCTAAGGCGTGGTCGGGGTTGTGTCGCATGTTGAGATAGCCCTCCTGTTCCATGTAATCGATGAGGTCCTTGACGTTCTCTGCACTCGGGAGCCTGTATTCTCGCATGCTGCCAACCAAACCCACTAACGCAGCTCCCAAATGCTCGCCCACGAGTGAGCGGCGACATAACCAGGCAAAGAAGTTACGAGTCGCGAGATGGTAAGCGAACGCTTGAACCTTGTCAGCTCCGGGCCTCGGCGGGATGTAGATCTCCAAGGTGCGACTCGTGGTGAGGGAGTCATGGCGAGTTTCGGCGTAGCGATGGTGAAGCGACTCGACGTCGACCGAAAACGGATCGCAATCGGGGGAAATAAACTTCTCAATCAACGGATGGCAATGAGCGTGGAGCAGCGCCGAGAACGGGATTTTGAAAGATGGGCCCCGCTGGGACTGGCCCCTCGCATAGAGATAGACGAGGCAGTTTCCGCCGGGATACCAAATATCTGGGTCCTGTTATATATTAAATAGATGCATTAGCCTTCGTTTTGCGCACGCTGAGGAATTCAACCCGTTCCTGCGAATATCAACTTACCCGGCGTAAATTGTTCCACTCCGTCGCCGACCTCGTAGCCCCATTGAATTTCTTAATTGTGGGGGACTTCGTATCGAGAGGATGGCCCTGGCCTACAGACCTGGAGCGCACTCTCGTCTGCGAATCCTCAATCTTGTTCGACATCTTGTACATATCCGGACAGGTTCTCGTCGACCTTAAACGACGGGGACCAGAAGGACGAGCGCGATTGAACTTGATGGGCTGACGGGGGTTGGGAGAATTATAAAAGGCCCAGGGAATCCATGTAGGGCTGCTGGTGACCTTGGCTGGGGAAGACTGCAAGTGCTGCAAGTGCTGCATGTGGTGGGCATGAGCTGGTCCTGGATGCTGCTTGCAGGTTGGCGTCATCTTCGAGGTACCGCGTGGCTGCACTTTGAATTATAGGTACCGGAGTACTTTCTGCGTTCCCGATTTCTTCGCCTGATCTTTCGCCTTCCCCGACGTTTCCCTCTTCGTCGTCTTCTTCCTTCAACTCTCTTTACACTACCTGTACCACTCGTTTCTTTTTCGCCTCTTCCTTAAAATTTCCCTACTTCCCTTCTTCCCTTCGTTCCTATCGTCGCTGTACTCAGGGCCAGCTGATGGAGACAGACCGCCGTCACTAATCTACAGCGGGTAGTAAGCGTAGTAGGAACCTTGGTCTGGGGGCCTCGTCGTTGGAATGTACCCTTATTATGGGGACGCTATCGAACGCTCAGGGAAGGATACCGAGTTCGGGTCTAGTCTAACAACGGATCTGGCGTCGAGTCCCAGCGCTCGCTGCTCTTGCTGAAGAGCCCAACAAACAGGAAGCAAGCCGACGCAATTCAATTGACCACTACTGCAGGCGCCGACGCCTCTTAGCTCTTAGCATATGCACCCTTTCGCAATCGTGCCTTTGGGAGGATCAGCCTCTGCACATACCTACGGGAGGCGCGAACCAATACTTGCGCACTTTCCGCTGGAGGCAACTGGGCAGGTGCGCAGGGTGGACAGAAGCGAAAGACGTGCAGAAAAGCGCTGGTCAGGGCGGACCCACCTTGGCTGCTTGCAAGAACCGTGCCGTGCCCTACTACGTACGTTTGCTGTGATGATGAACAGATCGTCTGGTGGCGTGGGAGTTGATCTCGAAGGGAGAGAAGAGTCGTCCGACTCCCCAGAACTTGGTTGGTCCTGTCCATTATAGCTGCTCATCTTCATCGGATTTCGCCTTTTGCTGGTTGCTAGAGAGATCAAACAGTTCTTCGACGGTGATTAAGCCTAACTTGCCCCCCGAGGGACGACGAAGACAATGTCTGAGCCTTTCCTCGTCTGCATCGAGGAATTCCCGGCTTCAAATGTCTTGTCCGTGTCTCTGTTGTCCGCATCCGACGCAGAATTGTAGTTTACGACTGAAGGAAGATTACCTTCCTATCCCTTTGCCTCTATTTTCATCTCTACTAGTCGTTCCGGTTTATTGCCCTCCCTACGGTGCTCATGGTCTTTTTGAAACATCACCTTCGCCAGCACGAGGCCAATGTCTTTCATCGATTATGCGTGATGCGATGTATCTTCCTCTGATATAGTACTTCTTCAGGTCGTTCCAGTTTTCTGATCTACTTGTTTCCTTCCGTCATACAAATACCGCCTTAACTACCGTCATTATACATGTATTGAATGCATTTCTCGCGCAGCAGCCAGTGAGAAGTGTGAAATCTCAGCCGTCTCCCCACTGTCTTGGAGGATCCAGTCGGCTTCTCCACGCAGCCCGCCGCATTCCACGGGACGTCGTGGGGTCATCCAGGTTAACTCCCGGCAATCCACACTTATCACCTGAGTGGTCACGAAGTAACATCAAACCCACCGCAACGAACAGCGAAAACAGAGTCTTAACATATTCTGCACAAAATACCTCCCTACGTCAACATCATGAGAGAGAAACTTCTCCACGATTCGACGCTCTGCACCATCTAGTTTAGTTTTAAACAACCCCTCCACGAGGCTCAAGTTGGAAGCACGGGTCGTGGACTTCCCCGGCTCCTTCGGCTTTGCAAGTTTACTCGCAAAACTATGGGCACGTCTTGACCTTACCCCTCAGAGGGACGGATGAAGAGGGTTTAGGCATGGCGTCGAGCTCGGGGGGTCAACTGCGGGTCTGGCCTAACCTCGCAGCGAAGCCGCCTCGAGCGTTATCCTCGATATTTTGACCCCTCAATCTTGCCTGCCGCTCTTGGCTAGAACAGGGGGCTCCCCGCCAATGTTACCCTATTCAGAAGGGCTAGGATCATTGATCCCTTGGAAGACAGGCCTCCAGCAAATGGTTTACCATACCGATGACTTCCCCTTCATCGTATTCATCACTGGCCCTTACATATAGTCCCATCGGTTCATGCACGTCTTCGTATTTCTTGCCTTTGTTTTCGAGATGGTTAGATGTTGAGAAAAACAAAACATTCAGATCTTGATTTCAGACCATTTACGTCTTTGTGTTCTGCTGCTGTCTTCCCTTTAACCTTTTCGTCTGGGTATGGGTCTCATTCTCACCCCAGTGGCGTCCCCAGCTCCCAAGGTGGTGTCTTGAAGTGGACTGGTGGAGTGGAGCGCTAGGCAGGGAGGTTCTCTCGCCTTCCCTGCGTGGACGACCAAAGAGATCGACGAGCACTGTTCCTTCGGCCTCTGAACCTTGTTGCCACCAGCTCTCCCCCTTCTGTCGTCATTGCTACTCCGTATGTTTCCCCCCCTTGTAAACTAGTACAATCCCTCAATGCGAATTACAGTTGGGATCTTGGTTGGCGCTTGAGATTGTCCCCGAGGAATGTGGAAGTATTCGAAGCTGACCGTTCCACTCCAAAAGGGCGGGCCTCCGGCGCCTGCTTTACGGACTGTAAGCAGGATGCAAGTCGATTCTGTGAGACTCGATTATACCTTGACCGGCATGGGCTGAGGTAAGACAGGTCCAGGTACTTCCGCACTGTTCATCGCTTTTTATTTTCCTCACTCGTCTTTGTCTTCTTCAAACTCGGTCTTTTAGACTCTTGGTCTCTTTTTCGCAAGTGTGTAAACCACACAAGTAGATTAGGCGATGTCCCGATCTGGTCGGCTGCCAGATTGAACTTGTGACTGTGGCGGAAGAGTTGGCGCTTGTTCCCATTCTGGGCATTATCATGAACCAGATTTGGCCATTTGTCGCGGTCCTCTCACCAGTGGCAAACAAACGAAACTCCATCCGCTGTACTCCGTAGTTTAGATATTACGACGAAGGATTTAGGTGAGTTGCATCTTGAAATAAAGTTTTTATCTTTGCTACTCTAACCAGGGGAGAAAGCCATGATTGCAGGCCCAGAAAGGGAAGGCCCACCTGAGGTGCTCGAGGAAGCCGCCTCTCTCGGTAAGGTCTGACGTGAGCGGATGAAACGGAAGGCCTGCAGAGAGGAGAATTGTTGAGGATTTTGTCTCTTCGGATGTTGACTCGGAAGCAGGATTCAGAACAAGACGTATATCATTGACTCGGCCTCTGATCGAGACGGCTTGCCCACTAGCCTCGCTGAACATGCCTGTTGGAACAGAACTTTGCCCTCCCTCAAATCTAACCAGCACCCGCAGCTTCTATTGACCACTATATATTCCATAATCTATAAATGTTTCGTATAACCTTGGAATCCCAAAATAGTCGTTTTACAAGTAGAAGTGACCAGGATTCTGAGAGTCTGGAAGGGAGGCTGAGGATGTCTGTTGGAAAATCGACTGGTGTTGGGCGTTAGTTAGCGGACCAGTTGTCGACAGCTGCCTTCTGCATCTGGCAATCGTAACCCCCCCAAAAGCGTCAACTCGAACGTTGAACCCAAATTCACCATCAAGAACCGCAAGCAAACGATTGTAGTATCCTCCAGGTATCCCGGCATTCAGCTCCGCGGAATGGAACTCTCGCGATCGTGAACGGGCCCAATATTTCCCACACCAAATATGGCCTCCGCAGCGTACTACACCTACATTCAATGTCCCTGTTCCTCCGCCTCCTCCTCAAGGCCCATCGATGCCACTTCCCCAGCAGCGCCGGGAGCTCATGAGGACGAGTACGAAGACGACGATCGCACTTTCGACCCTCGTGCCCCTCGCTCGAACTATAGCCTCTACCCGCTAGAGCACCTAATGTACTGCGAGGACTGCCAACAGATCCGCTGTCAGCGCTGCGTCAACGAGGAGATTGTCACATATTATTGCCCGAGTTGCTTATTTGAAGTGCCGAGCAGTAACATTAAGAGCGAAGGCAATCGGTAAGATCTGGCGGACCGGGCCTTAGACGTTCTATTTTTCGATATCGACAGAGAGTGGTTGTGGGAGAGCCAGCTAACCCTCGTCCCAACCATCTAGGTGCACGCGCAGTTGCTTCCAATGCCCCATCTGTATCGGATCCCCCCTCGCCATCACGAGTATCGACAAACCTCCCGACCCGACCCTTCTCGCCCCCGAAGGCCTCCCCACCCCTACCACCTCCCAATACGTCCTCACCTGCACATACTGCAACTGGTCCTCCTCCGAGATTGACATCAAGTTCGACAAGCCCAGCGGCCTATACTCCCAGCTCGTCAAAGTCCGCAACGGCGGGCAGCCCAAGCTCACGGCACGAGATTACCGTGAGCGGCGTAAAGAGGATCGCAGTGCGCCGCCGCTCCCGGACGCGGAGCTAGACGTGGACCTCCAGTTCGCGCATCTCAAGGCGTTTTATCAGGGCCAGCTCGCGGATATTAATGCTTCTGCAACAGGTGGGCTCTCCGCGCTCGGCGACCTTGGTTTCTCCTCGCCAGGGACTCTCTCGCGGATAATGAGTCTCTACACTGGCGGTAGCCTCGGTGGGAAGCGGAATTTGGGCAAATCGGCTGTTATGCGGGAAGCTAGCACTACGGATGACGGGCTGAAATTGGCTCAGTTGGACGAGTCTGCGGTGGTGGAAAAGCTCCTCAATGGATCGTGGTACGACACCGTGTCCACTGAGCAGCGTGACGCCCAACCGGCGTACACCGCACCGTTAGCTTCCCTAGACGACCTGCGCCCAATACCAACCCTATTGAGAACTAAGCGTTCAAAGCGGTGTCCTGTCTGTCGACACATTATCACGAAGCCCGATGCCAAGGTCACGAGCACGCGGTATCGCATCCGGCTCGTGGCGTCCCATTATGTGCCTACTATTACTATTCGACCCCTCACTTCGCCGTCTCAAGCACCTGGTACACCCAAAGTAGCTACACCTTCCCCACGTACCTCTACCCTGACACACGTTCAACAGCCACAACTTCTTCGACCGGGGCAACCCGCCCAATTCATACTCACTTTTAAGAACCCCATATTCGAGGAGGTCAAAGTCACTCTCGGCACGCCTCCCCGCACGCCGGGCCGCTTCCCTTCTAAAGTCACCGTCTTATGTCCACAGTTCACGATTGGTGCGAACACAGACATGTGGGACGACGCCCTCAAGGACGAGTACAAGGATCCCAGCAAGCGACATACCGTTGCTGGCTCCACAGCTACGGATGATGGTTCGGGCCAAGGTGTTGCAGGCAAGGTATGGGAGCGAGGTAGGAATTGGGTTAGCATCGTCGTCGAGGTGATCCCTGCATCTTTGAGACTGGACGGGTTGAGGTGGGCGAAGAGCGAGGGTGAGGATGTTGACGACGGCCCACTCCGGGAAGACGAAGACGCGCTTGAGATTCCGATGTTTGTGCGTGTTGAATGGGAGGCCGAGCCCCAGGAGGTGGGGAGCGCGCCGGGCAGGGACAAAAATGTGAAGGAGAAGAGGGAGCTGGCGTACTGGAGTGTACTGGGGGTTGGAAAAATTATGCAAGAGTAGACATAGACCACTTAGATGTTTGATACTCGGAACATTGTACTTATGATACCCATTTTCGGACGACTTGAGGGAAGGAAGCTCTCACGGCTTGTATGAATTTGCAACGCTTTACGAAACTGGGCTTATGGACTGGAAAATTCATCATTTGTGGTGCCTGTATTGGAAAAAATCAAGCTACCTTCCGTGCGCCATGTCCATGTCCATGTTCATAATGTCTTTTTGTACCAACCAAAGGATGCCAAATTCCACATCACGCCCAATTTTTTTTCAACCACACACAAACTCCCCACTCATTGGATATCTCTCTCAACTTAGAACTCAGAGGCAACCTGGGGGAACTCGAAGTTGACGTTGCGGCCAGTGAGCTTCTGGTAAACCTGAGAGTAGGTATCGAGCCTGTAGTCAACACCGCCACGCTCCTTCTCGTCGAGGATGACCTTGAGGATCTTGTTGCCGTCCTCCTTGGTCCTGAGACGCTTGCCGACGATCTCGACGGGGTAGACGAGGTCGGTGAGGATGGCGTCGTGGACGGCGGTGAGGGTTCGGGAGCGGGGACGCTTCTGCTTCTGGGTGTTGCGGGCACGGGCAGAGCGGCGGGGGCGGGGGAGAATGCGGCGGGAGGCGAGGAAGAGGACGTGGCGGTCAGAGAACTTCTTCTCGAGCTCACGAGTCAAGCTGTGGGAAGAGAGTATCAGCATCTCTGCCCTGGAATTAGAACTTGGGATAGAAATGTTCAACTTACCGCTGCTGAACTCGGTGGAAGCCGTGAAGGGAAGGGACGGGGACAAAGATGACAATAGCCTTCCTGCCGTGGCCAACTTCGATCTAATCAAGACCAAAAGTCAGCATGCGAGCTCCAGGACTAGCCTTGGACCGCTTCCCGCCCTATTCCCGTAACTCTCTCCCAAGCACAAAAGACTTTATCGCGAATTGTGGTCGGTATAAAGCCCGCCGGGCCAAAATTGAATCGTCTTGCAAAACTCTTCGTACAGATTATGGGATAGGCAATCTGCTTGCCACGCAAGTAACCGCCCAATCTCAAACTCGAAGTTGTGCGGCTCGATATCGCCTTTGACCCGACGTCGCAACTCGAGCGACAGCGAGAACCTTCTCGCCATCGTTCGAGGTCCCGAGGAGAGAGGACGGAGTTGGGTTCGGAATTTTGGTTTTGAGGGGGGGTCTGATAGCGTTAAGGAGGGAATCTTCAAGGTATGTTTCTCACCTCTCGCGCGGAGACGAACTGAAGGGGTCGCAGGGCGATCTTCAGGTCGGCAGTGTTGGTCTCGAGGTCATAGAGAGCCTGGGCGATGCTCTGCTCGAGCTCGGAGGGCTTCTGCCTCGAGGGGCTGCTGGGGTCGATCTTGTTGACGGCACTCATTTTCGCGGTTGGTGCGTTGGAATTGGCGGTTGGCGATGGGTGTGAAGGAGATGTCGTTGATTAGATGTCTTTTTGTGAGGATAGAAAATTTGGGGGGTTTGGTGGTGCATTGGCCAGGCGGAGCGAGAAACCCTGAACACGTGACTTGGAATTTCGTGGTGCGCGTTCAATTGAACTCGGTCTAAATTGTGGGACTGAATATTACTACTTTTGGAAGGTGGGTCTTACCAGAAGAATGAAGCATCGATGGGAGTTCGAATCAACGCCCAACATTTCGAAGTCCACAGAAGTCAGGATTCTCGTGCTTTGCCAATCTTCATGATGAGATGCTTGATTTTATTCTGCCTACACAGGCGCAATTCCCTCTCAATACAATGAGAACAGACTCCCTTATGGAGCGGCTCTGAGCTAGTAGCTCTTGAGAGGAGGTGAAAGGCGTCTCAAGTGGCACTGATCCCGATCGGCCCATGCCCAAGGTTGACCGCGCCGAGATGTTATTGCTATTACTTGCAGTCCAGGATTGAATCTTGGTTTTCGTGGACTAACCTTATGAGAACCTTACACATCCATAATACCCCGTAACTCATTCTTCTCTTGCCTACTTCTACAAAGTAAAGTCGGATCTTCGAGCCCACGAAGCTGGCTTGCAAGGTCTAAGTGGCCTCTAGAGACCGTTCCGAGAGAGTTGATCTCCAACGTATGCAGAACGTTGACTCCTAAATCGCCGTCGAGGGAGGGGAAAAAAATGCAACCACACTTACTTCCACTCGACTGCTATGAAATTCGGTGGTAGAGATTAGATGCATAGTGATTGTGAAGCGGGAGCCACGATAACAGCCTTGGCGATCTGGGACGGAGACTTCTCAACACCAACACACCCACCCAAGGTCTTCCAGCCTGCCCAGGGCGTTACTGAGATAACGGGTGAAGATAACGAGATATCCTGTGTGTTGGATAGTTCAAGCACAGCACCAGTTCAAACATATCCACCAACATAGTACCTACAGTCTTCCCCTTGGGATCTTCTCATGGTGGTTGTCCGGGGGAAATGCGGACTATACCGTCTATCTAGAAGAAAGATTATCTTAAGGTGAAAGTCTTCTCGTTGATAATAAGACGGGGCTTCTTTACTGGTTGCGGGGTAGTCGTATAAGCATCGAGAGGTCATTCGGGCCCGGGACGGGAACTGCCTCCTTATCTTATATCCAATGTGACCAACAAGCACAGATAACAGCATGACATATCTAGGGAGAGTGTTAGACCGTCCACATTGTTGTCAGCAGCAGATCGCCTCCAAGTATCGGATCAAAATCTACGGATGGATGAGTCAATCAAACGGAAAGCTCCGTCTGTTCGTGATTATGGGCAGCAGGTGGCATTTCGATATTAATAGAGCAGGCTCCAGAGTAGGTTTAGAGTAGTGACTCGAGAAAAGTCTATCGAAAGAGATGTCGATAGTCGTTCTCAGTGACGGACCTGGGAAGCCCCGTTTCCCCAGGACAACGTCATCAACGCATTGTTTCCGCTCCTATTGGCCTCGGCGCATCAATGCATGCCTTCTTACGTCCGAATCTAAGCCTGCTTGCAAAGACTTTGTACGACGTGTCATCATGGTCTGCTGTGGGGAGCGGTTGGCCGATTCTTGAAGGATTCCGCGGGAACGACAGGTTGATCCAATCACTGAGTTTTGGGGTCCATATTAGGAATTAAACATAGCCACCTCAGAATTTCTGTGGGCGAGCGCTGCAAAGTGATCCTGCGGCGGCGGCCAAATCCAACGTTGGAAGGTTTCCGCTTTGTCCACTTTTCTCATGAAATGGTTTGGAAGTGGCTGAAATGATGGGTTCGTCCGCATGCTGAGGCTCAGCAGAGGATTGTGTTGTCTGACAGTCAGGCTCGTCCCAAGACAAACAGCCTGGAGAACTAAAAATAAGACCTTGTGAAACATCCACATGGAGTAGAGAAAAGAAATCCTGCGATGATGAAGGTTGGAGCAGTAGGCCCGGCGGCGAAAATGATGTTTGAATTGTATCGTGATAATCATTACATGTATCCATTAGACTTCTGCCTCTATCAGGGGATTCTGTGTCCGTGGGCTCGAAGGAAGGAGGAATGTTCCCTCCGCCACCGCCAAGAACGAAGAAAAGAAAAATCAAAAGCGTTTTTAGCCATTCGCTGATGTTGCAGAACAAGCTTCAATCCCAAGCTTTTCCCAAAAGCACCACAAGCTCTTGCGCTAGCACTAAAAACCGGCGGCGTCGTAAGTTCGTAGTTAGTTCTGCAGCCGTGGACCCAAACTTTCGGTGGTTCAACACTTCTTCCCCTATCATTGTAACCTTCCAGCTTGAAACAATGTGCGGCAATCACAATGCATTCTAAACACCAGAACCCATGCGGTGAAAACCCTCATCAAGAGCGTTTAGGGGGAAATTGGGAAAAAAACAAGAAAAAAAAAAATGAGACAAAAGGGGTATTAAGAACACCAAAAAAAGGAATTTGTTTAGGGCTCCGAAACGCTGGGCGCTCAGACTCAGAGCATGCACATCACCGTCGCCAGGCTGAGAAGCGCAACGGCAGCAGCGCCAACATGGACTTTCGAGTTGCCCGGTCTAAAGCCCGATGTAGCTTCGTCCTCGGCCGCTGCTGAATCGCCCGTGCCCTCCATCTTGTTATTTGTCGTCGTGGATAGCAGCGTATGTATCCAGTCGCTTGTGAGCAGAGAATGCTTTTGTTGCCAGTTATTAAGGAGTAAGCCCTTGGCTAGGGCGAAGCGACTGTGTATAGGCGGTGCTGACGCTAATACTGGCTGCGACGGTATCGTCTTCGCATTGGAGTATTCTGCTGGCGTCGACGGTCGTTGTAATGGCTGAGTTGATAGGGGGATGTTTTCTGATCGTGATTCTTCGAGATAGATGGGTTCGTCTAATATGTCGTGCTGAAAGGCATGGTGGTAGCCGCTCGCGGTCTCGTTGCGGAAAGGAGGGAGGAAATTCGAGGGACACGAAGCTGAAGGAAAGTCGTCTATATGCAAAACGAGCTTCGTCGTGTCGATTGAGGCGGAGATGGGTTGGTGAAGGGCCGTCGTCGTGCTGGCGAAGAAGACTGCGAGAAGCTGCAGAATTGGGATGATATCGCTCCGTATGAATAGTGACGGACCAGGGGAACCTGTCCTCCGAGAGGATGCCATTGTCGGCATCAAGAATCTTGGCTTCCGTGGGGGCGAATGCTTATTATGATGAGCCAAGAATCGATGGGTCGCGGCGAGAACAAATTATTTTAGAAAGAAACAAAACAAGTTAAAAAAGCAATAGGGAAAAAAAAGTCCGGGGTTGGGACGAGGATAAAAAGTCTGGCACAAATTCTGGTGATGAAAATTCGGGACAGACCAGGTCCATAAAATGTTTGCATCAATTGATCAGTGCATTTGAGAAAAGGCTTGTTGGTTGTGAGAGCATTGATAAACTTACTTGTATCAATTGATGTATCCCATCGCGCCCCCTGGTCAGCCCTGCCTAGTTCGACAGGAAGAAACATTTGATTGAGTTAAGGCGATGAGTGTACATTGTCGTTCGTCGTTTGTACTTTGTACTGCCACTACTCCGGTGTTACTTCGCCTCAGTCTGTGGCTGTTAGATCTGAGTTCCAACAATACATTTGAAGGTCTGTCCAACCTACAACGCCTCATTGCCTCGAACTTGAAAGTAATATTGAATATTATTGTGCCGGTTTTGGTTGAGACTTCCGTCTGATGACACCAGACGACTCTCACGAAGTAACCACTCTCCAGAGAGGAGGGCATGTCCAACTTTCCAGCGAGCTAATCTTAGTATTGAGATGAAATTAGATTCATTCAAAGTTACAACATCGCGATACAGAAGTACTGGATCGGATCCTCGATGGAATTGTATTGATAGTGGGATCATTGAGGACGGCATTGCGCTCCACGGCGTCTCACCATTGATCCCCGCACCATCCTTTAGCTTAAAATGGACTCCGAACGGATCCCACGTAGTACATTTACATACAAAGGCATATGAAATGAATCGATCTTACCTCATCTACTTCGTAGAAACTGGTACTTTGGTGCCTGCCCGAAGGCGTCGCCCTGCAAGCGGGATTGAGCAAAGTTGTCCATGATCGTTGCCGCCCAGAAGTACTCCGTACTCCTCAGAGACCCAATTTTACATGACTTTTGATGCCACTCCGTAAAATCTCTGTGGATTTGGGGTCCGGCTTCGTTTCTCGATGTTTCCTCATCCCCACCTTTCTTTCGGTCCCTTTTTTTCTTTCCCCCCCTTCCTGGGGGCTAATAATCGGGGCGCAGCCAACAGAAGGATGCCTGTCAAATCGATGCATACGGAGTAGAACATGAGTCGTATCTAACCGTCCTTGTGTCCCGCGGGCGATATCTTCGGGAAAATCAACCTGCGTTCCGGAAGGGTAATTCATTCAATGGGCGATCACTGTGATAATGTGTCCCGGTACTTCGTAGTGCGTGAGTACTTCTCGCATGTCCCAGTTTTGTACAATTAGCCGCTCTGTATCGGTTTCCTTGGATTTCCATGGAATTTCTTGTTTTGGGCGTGGATAAGGTCTGATATCATAACGATCATGATGCCAATCATCCCCCACGTATCTTGTCCTTAGATTTCTGAATACGACTGACTACGAGGTTACATTAATGCACCTCGTCGAGTACTCCATACCCCGTAAGGTAATCCTACCTGGACTACTTCGTACTTCGTAGGCATTAACTAGAGTACGACAACGCGCTCCACCATCGCCAAATATTCCCCGGCGGGTGGCGATCGAATGGGAGGAGAGCTTATCTGCGAGATGTGACTTTGCATTGGTCAAGTGCGAGCTATCTGAACTAAACTGTCAACACGAAGTTGGAATTTTGCAGGTAACCTTGCCTCTGTTCACCAAACAGGGTCCAGTCCGGGTCACGTCACTCGGGGCTGGTATGGGCAACAGCAGCACATCACCACCAAACGGGC